TCAAGAATGCAGCAGGTTGTGTGATGCAAAGGAGCGGGGAGTGCAATCTCGTGCTGCTGCTGCTGCTCCCCCGCAAACCTTTACTTTTCCTCTGCTCGACGCGGGTAAATGTATCGGTCGTGTTCACGCGCTCCGCCCTTCAGGCTGAACAAGTCAGCGGCCTTTGTCGGCCCGCGCAACTAAGGAAGTGTGGGGCAGTGTGGGTTGGCGACTCGAAGATTGTCAGCTGCCACTCATCAATTCTTCTATACAGGAATTTACGAAAAAGTCAGTTACTCCACTCAGTGACTTCAGTGCCTTTTTGTTCAACTCATATCTGTTCAAAACCACCAGACGGACATTCAAGCCGATTTTGTTCACTATTAAGACGTGCTTAAGGTTTGTCCCCAAAACTGCAAAGTGCCTTTGGCGGGTGCGGAGACTTGTGAGGGTCGCAGACACTTCACGATGCCTCTTGGGCCACAGCGGAGTTATTGAATTCCTGGAGGTGGCCCTCGAGGCCAGGCTAGCAGCAACGGTGGAAAACGCGTCGCAGCAACCATCCATACGGTGTGTAGTTCAACCAACCGTGCCTGACGCACCTGGATTTCATCGGTTGCAAATTATCACCTCGCCTAAATATCCAGCAGCTTAAACTTCTGAATTCGGTCTCTGGAGTCCCCAGTTATGCATGAGCGCTTGCGGCGGAACTGAAAACTACATAAAGCACGTGCTGATTAAGCTACGGCAGAAGCAGGATCAGTTTCTGTTTGCTCATGTTTTGCCGTCTGCAGGATTTGGAGGCTCCCGCCAGTTGAATCGGATAGTGAAGATGTCCGGTGCACGGCGGTGAGTGGAAATATTGTGTACGCGTAGTTCCGTGCGTAAACGCTTCAGCCAGATTTAGCCAGTTGGAACAGGTAGTTCATTTTGGATTGATCTCCTCGTCTAGTTTTCTACGACACGCAGTATCAAACGTTTAAAAATAGCTTCTGATGGTGATGGCTAAGTCATATTTTTCATCGTTTCCTTGCCGCTCGATACAAGTCTATATTGGACGAAAACTCTTCATATGTAGCAACTTTGTATTGTTTCAGAAGTGTGGTTGGTGATTTGGTTGGCAACATATATTGGTACTGGTCCCTCTTAAATTCGCAGTATAGGCAGAGTTGCAATTCCTTCACACCGCAAACGCATGACATTGCTTGCCTAATGAGAAGTGCTCACACGCATATGCAAATCGTCCCCTGTATTAAATCCTCCGTTCATGCTCCATGCTTGAGTCTAGGTTGTTTATAAACAGCTTCCACAGTTTAGCGTAGATAATACAGTTCCCCTTGCTTCCCGCCTGCGGGGCTTCAGGGCCAAATTTTGACACACATCTGTTGCCCCTGCAGATCATCCAGTCGGCAACTCTCGAACGGATAACGTTGCTCCGTGTNTTGACACACATCTGTTGCCCCTGCAGATCATCCAGTCGGCAACTCTCGAACGGATAACGTTGCTCCGTGTAGACCCCAGGGGACGATATATGGTGGTAATTTGCACTTCTGTCGCCATCCCGTTGGCTACCATTTTCTAGCCCTCCAGCATGCCCTGTAGTTGTGTAAAAAAGGCTTAATACAAACTTGTACAATGCGAAAGCAGTTTGTGCTTAACCACTCAGCTTGTTGGTTCAGACCGCCTTAACCGCCAGCAGCTCCAAGTTTGGGAACTTCATGGCCTGTTGACAACTGGGCGCCCCAATCTCCTCGCCCGTCAAGTTTCAGATTTCCAGGTGACTATCATTTGCTCTCCACACACTTCCTCAAAGTTGGTCTTCTTAAATATTCAGTTTGAAGCAACGTACGTACTTCATTCCTTCTTGACTTATCATGGACAAACTTCATGAAACCCGTGTGATAAAATCAGATTGAGGCATTACGCATTTCTCCTTTGGAGGAACTACGGCTTGTGAGCTGTGGAAAGGAGAACATCCGTTTTTGGCGCATNTACGCATTTCTCCTTTGGAGGAACTACGGCTTGTGAGCTGTGGAAAGGAGAACATCCGTTTTTGGCGCATTAAGGTAAGAATAATCACATCAAAAACATGAGTTTACCTGTAAGATCCGCGACACGCCACCGGCTTAGTTGGTGAACCATAGCGCCGTAGGCGAAGCATTGTTAGCAACGAAGAGAAAAAGAACTACATGTAGCTCCTTTTTCTGTGAAAAGATATGCGTTGTTATAGTTTGCCTTGCTGATGCGCCAAGGTGAAGTTCAAACCCTAGGCTAACTCTGTAGCCCCAAAAGTTCTTCCCGAGGGCAGAGTATTAGGGAGGCACTCTATCAACCCAGCGTGCGCAGTTGATGGGAGAAGATAGAAGCCCCAACATACCTGCTGCGCTTATGCCTTTTCAAACTACAGAATGGGCATTTGCCCGGCTGCAATGTCACGCTGGATGGTCTTGGGAGGGGAAATCTATTCACAGACATCGCCTTCGTGTTGCCGGATCAAGCCACGAGGTCCAGTTCAAGTGAGAGGTTCACTGCACTCTCTATATCCCAACAACCGGCATAATGTCTGGCTCCCCTCCCCATTTTAGGGGCGTTTACCAGTGTAAAGATAAACCTGCTTGATGTGCAGAAAGAAACAGTTTGATGATGAGCATGAGCCACTTAGAAACCCAGACACATTTACAGTGCTGTAATTTGTTGTTTCATGCTGGGTGTTGTGCGGAGTACTGTGAACTGCCAGAAGGCGGCTTGAATTCGCTGGCAAAGTTGTTGGCCTCGTCGACGTGCGGCAGTCTCCTTGAGGTGCGTTTATTAAAGAAGAGCTTGAAACTGTTCATCTGAGCCTTTTCGACCCCAGTCTGTCGCGATGCCTTACTGATACCTATCTACTGATGTGCCTGATGTGTCTGCTTTGCTTGCAGATAGACTACTTCACGCGAGCTGTAAGGCGGGTTTTCACATTGCATCAAAGCGCAATTTGGGCCCTCTCAACAGGCCCCGGGTTTTGCGTGACGGCGTCTGCAGATAAAACGGTAAAGTGAGGAAAAGCTTCCCATTTACATTCCTGAGTGAACCTGGTCAGAGGGAACAGAGGAGATCACCCGCGGAAACACCCCTCGACAAGCCTCTAGATAACCTTGCTTAAACAATGTGTCTCACTGAAAAATCTTACAAACCAAATCTGGCTTGCACCTCTGCTTGTCTGTCTAAGGGTGTGGCCTTTGAACTTCATGGCCGCCTACTTCTCGGCTGTCCACGGTTCGCAATGTGTGGGAGTTGAAACATCCCCTGATGGCCAACAGGTACTGTGCACCTGCGGAGATAGCGCTGTGGAGCTCCTGAACCTGACAACGCAACAACACC